CCTTTCTTCCTGTTCTTTTCCAGGGCTAGGGATGCACAAGCTAGGCAGGCCCTCTACCACTGAGTTACTTAGAGCTGCAGCCCCAGGCTAGTAAATTCTTTAAGCCAGTGAAAAGGTACCAATTCACAGAACCAAAAACATAGCAAGTGTACCCAATTCTCACGAGTAAATCAGCAGTATTCTAAATATCCTGAGGATTCTGGCCCAGAGGGTGACAAAGCCTTTTCACCGTGAGGTCCGTCTACCACTGGAGGGTCTTTCCATTGTCCATCTGTTTTGTAGATGAGAATGAGGTGGTTTGCTGTTCTCACAGAACTAACTAGAACCGCAATTTCATGATGAAATAGAGAACATGACTAGATCCAATCCACTGTGGCTTGGTGGAAATTGACCTGTCACTGTTTACAAATCTCTTTAATCCCCTTCCATATCCTTTTGACAAATGATTGGCCACCGCTTCGACACCCCAAGGCAGTCATGTCAAACAATCTCATTTCGTTGCAGAATGTCTCAGTCAAGAATATTATAGGCAAAGTGGTGCACGCCTATAATTCTAGCAGTTGGGGAGGCCGAGGCAGGAGGATCACAAGTTCAAAGCCAGCCTTAGCAACTTAGTGAGGCCCTAAGCAACTTAATGAGACCCTGTCTCTAAATAAAAAATAAAAAGGGCTGGGGATGTGGCTCAGTGGTAAAGCTCCCCTGGGTTCAATCTCCAGTACCACCACCACCAACAACAACAAAAGTTATAAGATGAAGCATATGATTTCAGCCTTCATTTCACCAAAGTCTGTTCTAGGTATTTGGAACTGGTTATTTATGTCCACAATAGAAAGAGCTGCCAACTAGCATGGATCAATGATGTGTGAATTACATATTTTATCTCATTTATGCTCAATGATCCTGTGGGGTGGCTTTGGGTCATTCCCATTAAACAGGTGGAGATGTTGAGGCACAGAGAGGGGAAGGCCTTGTGCATGGCGGCACAGCCAGCGTGTGGCACGATGGGGCCCCAGGTCCGTCTGACTCCAGCAGGGGCTGTCAAGCCTCAGGGCTGTCATGATGAACTATCCTGAACTGATTCAGGGTCCGTGGGCTGGGCCTGGGGCTGGGGAGAGAAGCTCAGTAACAGCAGCTGAAGAAAGGGGAGGAGCAAAGGGTGACGGACAGCAGCGAGAAGTTGGAGCAGGAAACTTGGGGAGAGAAAGTCAATATTCAGAAAGACCCAAGCATCTAAGTGGTAACTGAAATGCCCCAGTGTTACAGAAATAAGTGTAAAATTCTGAGTTTAAATCCAAGAAGCAATGTGCTGAGTGCAGTCTACTGACTGCAAAGAACCTGGTTTGTTTGGAGGTCATGTCCAGAGGACCTGGGGGTCAGCAACTAGGGAGAAAGCTGCCATAGCTTTACATTAGCAATATCATTAGAGGCAGGGAGCTTAGATGGAGGGAGGTGAGAATCATGTAGCAGTCGGTGCTGGCTAGAGGTGGGCACTGTTTTAAAATGTAGGCAGATTTGTAAGACATAGACTCAGAAACAGCTGTCCTGAAGGGAGAACTTCACACATGTGGGACAGCACCACAGCTGGTCAGGAGGCAGAAGGAGAAAGTGAACAGTGAGGGCAGAGGTCTTCACTGTGGCTTTGAGGGAAGGAATGGGCGGGGCTGGCACACAGTGCAGGCTGGCTTAGGACTGGCCAGGCTCTGGGATGAGAACCAGGGGAAAGGCCAGGAGTCCTTTGCTGTTGCCAAGAATGAGCTCTTTGGGGGATGACTAATCCCTCAGGCATGAGCAGGGCCCCAGAGGCCAGAGCACCAAGAACACGCAGATCAAAATCACGGTCATCCAGGCAGCCCTGCCAGGAAGGAAAGAGACACGTCAGCCCACCACGAGGAGCAACCAGAACAGGACAGTCAGCCAGGTGTAGCTGTGCGGACCCGGAGGCTGAGGCAGGAGGATGGCAATTGAGTGAGACCTTGCTTCAAAGTAGAAAATACAAAGGGCTAGGGGGTAGCTCAGCCCCTGGGGCCAACCCCTGGTGCTGCAAAACAAAACAAAACAAATGGAATCGTCACACAAAGGCCCGTGGCTCCCTCTTCTGCCCCCACTCAGCAGGTGCTTAGGCACCTGGTCCAAGGCCAAGGACTTGGGATCTGTGACCCGGGATGAATTCCAGCCCCGCCACCTTCCCCTGTGGACTTCTGGCAAGACTTAGTTTCCCTGCTGTAAAGGATGGTTGTGCCTGCTCAGGGTGTGGTGAAGTATGTTATGCCCAGGACAGTTCCTGAGCTGTAGGGCACATGCTCTGCTGGGAGGAGCAAGGGCCGTGGGTGCCCAGGGACAGGCCCTGGCCATGCACGGAAGAGGATCAGGGAAACTTCCTGGGGCAGGGGACAGGAGTTATCCAGCTCTGGGCAGAGGGGCTGGGCCTCTCCCAAGGGTGCTGGGGCTCCTGTGTGGAGAGTCAGTAGTGACACCAGCCAAGCACCCTCAGTCCTGCCATTCCCGCTCCCAGGGGGCCACCGGAGGCTGCTCTACTACCTCAACGAGGGCCAGTATGGCTCCTTCCGCATCTTCCTCAGGGAGCCCACCCCCAGGACGCCCATCGTGGTGAAGGTAAGGGAGCCCTTGTGTGACTCCGGCTCTTCCCAGACCCTGAGACCACCAGGTCCAGGCTCCTGCCCTGAGGGGGGGTGGTGAAGGATCTCAGATAGAACCTGGTTCTACAACTTACCACACCAGGAGTATGTGTAGGGACCTGGTGTCCACCTCTGTGTGCTTCCTAGAGGGGCCTGACCATCTGCACCTGTGCAGGTACCTGGGCGCCCAGGTGCGTGGGTCTGTGGAGGCTGCACATCTGGGTGTGCAACCCTGGGTGCTTCCGCGTGTATCTCCGTGTGCACTCTGTGGATAAGTGTGTATTTCCAGAACACTTGAATGTTGAGGTACGGGAGACCTCAAAGTAATGGTTCTCAAACTGCTTCACATTAGCGCCACCTGCGAAGCTTTAGAGGCCCCAGTGTGCAGGCCATGCCCTCAGACCCTTTAAATCAGCATTTCTCAGGGACCGGGAGCCTGGCATCAGTCTTTGTTAAGACCCTGGGGTGGCTCCAGTGTTAACACTGAGGCTCGATGTCTAAGGGACTAGTGGGTAAAATCTTCGCATGCTGCAGTTGGAAAACTGCCTTCCCAAACAAGGCTGTGTTTGTGGATTGGCCGGGCGGGGATGTGTCCCTGCATAGAACATAAGCTCCTTGAGGGCAGGTGTTAAAGAAAAGACCACCGACTCTAATTTGAAATCAAATTAAAGCAAGCTTGTGATTCTGACTAGCTGGGACTGTCCCTCTCCCCAAATCCGTGGGTTAGAAGACAACCCCGCGCTCTCTAGGAGCACAGTTTTATAGCACAAAAAGTTGCAAAAGAGGGGTGTCTTGAGAACTTACAGATAACAGGATTTTGACAAGCATAATACAAAGGCAGGTAGTAGGTTAGTGGTCTTAATGGTTCAGCACTTAGGAGTAAGGGAGTAAGTGTCGATCCCAACATCAGATTTATGAGGTGCCATTAGGGTTTTAGAGAGGGGTGTTATCTGGTCAGGGAAAACCAGGCAGGGTGAGTTCAAGGCCCGGGCAGGCATTCCAAGCAAGTTTAAAACATCAAAATATGGCCAGGCCACATAGAAATCCTAATATTTTACAGAAAAAAGAAATGAATCTTGTTTAACTTTTGACAAGATGGCTCTGATCTTAAGAGGAAACTAGGCTGGGTTCATCACAAGGTCTTCCTTTAGGTCAGTGTGCATCCCAGAGGCTGCCGGGCGCAGAGTAGCCGCCCCATCATGGTTCCTAGTGTTGAATGACAGTGTCCTTGCTGGTTATTGCCACTTGCGCCCAGGGGCGTATCCTGGGCCTGGGGAGCGGGTCGGGTGGGGTGCACTCTTGCCTCTCTGACCCTCTCACCCTTGTTCCCTGTAGGAGTTCCTCTCGGAGCCCCACCTCTTCCCCTGCACCCTCTACGGCCCCACCTGTGATGCCTTTGACAGGCTGTCCTTGGAGGAGGTGTGGCTGCCCGAGCTGGACGTGGGCGACTGGCTCATCTTCCCCTCGGTGGGCGCCTACACGTGCTCCATGAGCTCCACCTTCAACGGCTTCCCTCCAGCCTACGTCTGCTATGCCACCGGCCCCCAGCTCAGGTGCCTGGAGGAGGAGGTTGGGGGGAGGGACAGTGGGGGACTCTGCCAGGGCCTGAGCCTGGCACAGGGAGGCTTTCTTTCCCTCGTCAGTCCTGGCAGAGCCCAGTGTGTCTGATGGCTTGGACACTGGCCTCTGCCTATGGGTTTGACCTGTCTTAGACTCTCCCCCATCAAGTCCAAGGTTCCAGCAGCCCAGACCCTACTCACTCTCCAGATGACCCTCCCCACCTGCCTCAGCTGACTCACAGCCCCTGCCCTGAGGCCCTTGCTCTGCCCAGCCTAGGGCTGGTCCCTGAGGAGGTGGAGGGACTGACTCTGAGTGACATCACATTTTCACAGGAGCCTGCTGGAGATGGCACCTTAGGCCCCTGTGTGGCTGCAATGGAGTGGCTCCAGATGCCTGGTGAGCCCGGGCGGGGGTGGGGAGGGGACAGCTGGGGTGGGGGTGTTTCTGGAGGAAGCAGAGGCCTGGCTGCTTCCAGGAGCCTTGGTTTTTTATTTTCATTATTATTTTTTTGTTGTTGTTTTGGTGGGGCTGGGTGGAACCCAGGGCCTCCTGCTAGGCAGGTGCTCTATCACTGCACCACCCCCCCAGCCCTGAGATGGGCATTTTTAAGGTCCAAGCTGTTCCCCTGCAGCAGGCCTGAGGCCCAGGCTGCTCCCTGGGCCCGCCCCTCCCTGCTCCTGCCCCACCGTGGGTCCTGGGTGGGCTGAGGAACCTGCCCAGCACAATGCACGTGCCCTGCAGCGAGGCCCAGGGCGCTGAGAGGACCCTGGGTTTCTTTCCTTCCTCCTTCTGGCCCCTGTGCCGCTGCTGAAAGGGTTTACCTGGACTGGAGATGCCTCCCCCAGGGCGTAAGAGCTCTGGCTTTGTCATCAGACTGGCCTGGAGTCAATCCAGGCTCCACCATGAGCTGACATATGGTCAGAGCCTCAGTTTCCCCTTCTGTGAAAGGAGAATAGTAGTTTCGCTCTCACAGGGATGTTGAGAGAATTAAGGAAGACAATGTCAATCCTCCCAAGGACCATTCATGTCCAGGGCCCGGCCTCTGGCTGGGCAGGGCCTTCCAAAGACTACCCACCGCCCCACAGTCTGGGCAACCTCAGAGGGCATGGGTAGCACCTGGCCACACAGCTGATGGACCAGGCCAGAGCTGCCTCAGACCTGGCCTCGACCTCAGAGGACCCTCAGATTGGAAGTTTGGATGCATGAGGTGTGGCCACAGATGATTCTAAAGTAGAGCAGATGCTAGTGCCACCCCAGGCACTTTTCAATGTTAAAATTAATATTTGGGGCCAGGTGTGGTGGCTCACACCTGTAATCCCAGCAGCTCAGGAGTCTGAGGGAGGAGGACTGAAAGTTCCAGACCAACCTCAGCAATTTAATGAGGCCCCGAGCAACTTAACAAGATCCTGTCTCAAAATAAAAAATTGAAAAGGGCTGGGGATGTGGCTCAGTGGTTAAGTGCCCCTGGTTCATTTTCTGGTACCAAAATAAATAAACAGTATTTGGGTTTTTAAGCTTAAAAATATGTATGCTGCAGGGAAGGACACTGGCAGAGGGGAGGGTAGGAATGTCAGGATGCCCACCCTGCAGTGAGAGAGGGGGGTGGGCCAGGGTGTCCCCCAGCTCGCCTGAGGAGAGCCTTCTTGGACCCACAGCCTCTGAAGACAGTTCTCCTGCTAGAGTCAGTGCCACCAGTCCTGCCATTGCCACCTCAGCCTGGTCAAGGCCAGAAGTCCTTCTTGGGCTGAAGAGCATTCACCCCCTGAACCTGAGGACAAAGTGGGAGGTGGACGCCTCCCATGGGAGCTGGAGGGACCCAAGAGCCTGCTGGACACTGTGCTTCTCACTTGGTTCTCCTTGGGGCCATCAAATTGGGTGTGGAAATGTCCACCTCTAACCCTCAGAGGTGTTTGGAAGTACAGATATAAGTGGGCTTTAGGGAAAATATAAAGCTGTATTCTGGTGCAAGAGATGGTTGGTGTGTTTTGTTTGCCCTGTGGGTGCTGTCCTGAGGGATTGTGGATAATGATCCATCCATCCACCT